TACTATCTGAACTAAGCAGAGTGATACGAATACTCGAGTAATAAAGCGGTTAGAACAGTTACATTGGTTACAATGCAAGATTTCGCCTCTATCGATTTCTACTGAAGCGGACTCGCAACGTGAAGGAGTATTATCTGAGAATCATTCGGTTTCCTGACTCTCGGATATCGATTCGGCGAAAGTGTCGTTTGACCGACTGCGCTCTGATTTTGCTTGGGAAACGGGCTTCGTTTGCTCCGGAAAACAATTTTCGAAAAATTATTACATATATCTTCAACCCTCTCGGCGCTGATTAAAATAAACAGTATAGTGGAAGAAATTATCTACCTTTTATATTATTTTTATGNGCTTCGTTTGCTCCAGAGAACAATTTTCGAAAAATTATTACATATATCTTCAACCCTCTCGGCGCTGATTAAAATAAACAGTATAGTGGAAGAAATTATCTACCTTTTATATTATTTTTATGATTTTATATCATATTCGTAATATATATAGGGTGTCCCAAAATTATAGCACTTTCGGGAAATGGGGGATTCCTGAGGTCATTTGAAGTAACTTTTTCCTTTACAAAAATTTTCTCCGAGGGATCGTTAATGAGTTATTAATGAAAAACATTGACCAATGAGCGCCGTGCTCGGCTAGCGTGAGGCGGCCGAGCTAACGAGCAGTCGACGTCCAGTTCCGCTGATTGGCTCGGCCGCCTCGCGCCTGCTGAGCTCGCCTGTCATTGGTCACTGTTTTTTCATTAATAACTCTTTAACGATGCCTCGGAGAACACTTTTGTAAAGGAAAAAGTTACTTCAAATGACCTCAGGTATCACCCCTTTCCGGATGTTAACATAATTATGAAACACCCTATACATATATAAATGTCATTCAGCTGTTCATACACATTCATATTATAAATGCTACAAAGATTATGGTAGATCAAATTCATAAATATTAGTGTAGCGGACCCGCAACGCGGGAGGCAGGAATTTTCGGACGCGGAAATTCTAACCTTCCCATGTGCGTGCCATATGCGGCCAGGCCTCAAGGACCCGTCGTAAATGTGACGAATGTCCACATGCTGGGCCTTGTCGTTGGAGAGTCCTCACGGACGACGACCTTTTTCCAAAATTGTTTTACGAGAGATAATTCTCCCTTCGTCTTCAAGGGAAACGAATTTCCCTTTCCTTCTTGCACCAATTCAGAAAGCGTTAAACGGTCAAACGACACAGATAGCAGACGTATCGCCGCAATATTTTCATTCGTTGTTGTTTCGTTATTGCTGTTTTTCATCGTTACTATCGTTTGTTAGTAACTGTTTTGTTACTATCGTTGATTAGATTATTGTTATTCTTGTTTTACAAACATATCTATTATTTGTTATACCTAACGCGCACTGTTAGACACTATTTGTTATTCACACACGCATCACCTATAATACTCTGTATCATAATACAAATTATTATGTCATATTGCTGTAAAAATCCATCTCGAAAGAGTTAAAACATGTTGCTCGGACTTCGAGGAAAGTAAGGCTGACGAAGCAATTTCAGGATATTTAGCATATCTTATCGCTTATTCCACTAATCTCTCTTTTTTATTTATTTTATGCAATTTTATTAAGAAATCTGAGCAATTTTAAATCTTTTAATACCTGCAGTTCGACGATTTCGACGAAAGCCTTAACATTTAACACTAAACCTATACCAACGAACACCAGATCAAAATGACCGTTTTCCCCTTTTTTATTTTAATATTGCTGAAATTGTAAGTATGCATTAGTGGGAAATGGTTGAATAAATTTCTTAATACTTTGAATCAATATTCCTTAATCTAATTTCTTTCTAATTTACTTTCTGTTCTAACAGAAATAAGGAGGGGTCTAAACAAATTCAGTCTTGTCATTCTCATAAAACAACACAAGTTTTGCAGTTTTAGTATACGGTAGGGTTAGCGTTAAATAATTGTTCTCGGCTCAGATGAAAAAGTTAAAAAACCCCTATTTCTTATTTTTTTATCGTTTCAAACAATTTGCAATTTTTGAAAAAGTTTGCACATTGTCTAGTAAACTGGTAATTCTATTATCACAAAAAAATTCGAGTAATATGGTCCAATTTTTAGGAAGATATTCCGTTTCGAAAAATATTCGAATACTTTCGTTAGCCACTGTACAATAATTTCTCCCTAATTCGCGCTCAGTATGCGCACAAACATAGACAATTTGGAAAGAGGAGATACGATTATTCGAGGCTTGCATCTCGTTTTTATAGTTGTTGACAATCGGTAACTATAAAAACAGGCCACAATGCTCGAATAATCGTATCTCCTCTTCCCAAATTGTCCATTTTTGCTTACAATCTAAGCGTCAATTAGAGAGAATTTAAAATGATGGAACGTCGGAGATAATTACCGCATTTAAATAGAATGCAAGATTGCATCGATACAGGTCGTAGAAAATAGAAATGTTTAATTCCGAAAGTGTCACAATCATCAGTGTCTTGCAATGTCTACTTTCGAACAGCTGAAACGCGGTGTAAATCGGACCACGGTTAATGAGCATTTACTATTATTATTAGACCGGTTGTCGATTAATCCGAAAATAGCACAAATTACTCCGATTTGATTAAAAAAAAAAATTGATCCGACCGTGCGACGCGACTTACCCTTCTCCACCGCAGCCGAACTCGCCGCATCCCTCGGGCCTGTGCTTATGGCGATGGCGTCTGACGCCGTCATCGAAGGGGCCGTCGCCGTCGTAATCCGGATAAGATCCGAAACCGCCGTCAGGGAATCCGAACTGCGGAGATCGTTGTGCTCTCTTCGCGTCTGCGAACCGAAAGGATATACACGATGATAACACATGACTGTTAGCCGACGTTTCGAGCAACGCTCACGCGAGGACCGACCAGTTTCTACGGCGTTGATCAGCTGTTGCTCCAGCGGGTTCAGCTGCGAGGATCCATCGGCGAGCACTTCCGCGGGCTTCGCGGGGCAAGCATCGAGGAAGAACGCGCACAAAATGGCCGCAGAGAGGAACCGCGACGTCATTTCGACGGAGATTCTTTCAGAAGCGTCCGAGCGGAGAGACGAAAACACGAGTCGAAGAAAGTCGACGGTCCACGGTGTTTTTATATGTCGGGGTCCCTTCACCGTCGAAATCGGAGGAAGACACCCGCCGCGGCGGCGGGACCTGCCACCCCACCGAACGAACACGTTCGACGATCGACGAGCCATTTGTCATTGACACCTAACGAGTGGACGTCCTTACGGTCCAGGGCCGATCGAAAGTGGTCCGCAGCAAGAAAGCGCGCCCGGCTAAGTCTAAGGACGCTAATCGAACCGTGGATTCTGTGGCAACGTGCGCGTGCCGGCTTCCGAGAACCGCTTGGTCAAGGAAACCGGGCAACTCAAAAATACACGCTCGTGGAGTCCCCGCGAAAGTTGCGACGCCGGGCAATCGCGTTGCCTATGTTTTATTCATTTTATTCCGGGATTTTCGGCGATACCACGGTCCGAGAATGGAAAACTTCGTTGCCGGTTACGTGATTATTTTTTCCTGATATCGCCTCCTGGAATGTAGCGGAAAGTCGCCGATGATACCGAAACACACCGTTTTGTTCTCCGCGTGCCGTACTTGAAAATCGAGTTCGACAAATAACTGAATTTTATGGGCGTTTAGGATAGTTTTCAATTTTCAACATCGTAAACAGATGTTAACACATTAAAGGCGGGGGATCTTGACGAAAGTATGCTAGGTAACGCGGCGACCGCTCCGTCTCGTTTTTCGTCCTAGAGCGGGCGATATTTCGTGTAATCATAAAAAAATTTAGACTTAAAAAAGTTTATTTAAACTCTTGAAACTAAAAGAAATATTAAAAAAGAACTAAACATTAATTACAAAAAATGTTTTAAAGTACATATTTATGAGAAGTCGAGATAAATCGTAGTACTACGACTCCCGCCTTTAATGTGTTAACACTTGCGCCACCCATATGCCGGTTACAGAATTATTTAAATATTCATTTTTACGCTAATCCATTCTAGTTTCTCGATTCTATTAAGATTCGCAAGCGGTAAGAATGCTGAAAGAAAGGAAACTGATGTCATATAACTTCGCTTTGCAATTTTCATTGAATTGAATTAAATACTTCAATTTTATGAAACTCTTCAGGTTTTTGGCGCAGCCGTCGAACTTTAAACGAATGTGCACTAAGCTTGGAATTGGTATCCAAATACGGATCGTTACACATACATATGTGTAGTATAGTACATATTTTTTCGTAAGAGACAGACAAAAAATTGTTTTTCCTATTTATTAGTGCACTTCGGTTGTGATATTACGTACCGCTACATTTTATAGAAAGAATTAATGATATTGATTGGTTTGACAGTTTCGGCGTGTTTTTTACCATATATACTTTCATCATGTTATTCAAACTTGTCGAGTTCCATTTTGTGGAAAATACAGTTCGGAAACTGCTTTATTTACTTCGCTTTATACAACCTCGAAACTGATCTACGTCACATAATCTAAATTAAGTTAGATTTTATGCGCGCATTATTTTCACAGAAATGGTAACCGGAACTTTTGGTAATTAAGCGAAAAATGAACAATGCTTCGCCTTGTTTGTCGGATTAAACAATGAAAAAAACCGTATCTGAAACGGTCTTATTAGTTGAAACAATACTTTTTTCTCAAACTTGCTAACTTAGTGCATTACTGAGTACATAATTACTGCATAAGTGCTATTATTGTTCGGCAATCCAAAAAAAAAATAAAATATATTAAAATATATATAAATGTATTAAAATATATATAAATATATTAAAATATATATACGTAAAATATATTAAAAATAAAATATATTTTTAAATTTAGTCATCCGAATTTCTCCTCTTAGGAAGTCTTCGAATTTCAATACAAGAAAACACTCAATTATGGTTTACAAATCTTTTATTCTCACAATACTAATAATAATTAAGTCATTCTAGAATTAACTAATAATAATTAAGCACAAAGATAACGCAAATA